AAATAATGATCATATATTTATATTGGATAATAATATCATAAATATTTATAGATAATCATTTCCATATTCATAGAGAATATATTCTTATTTCTATTATCTAATTTTAGAGAATAGAATCTTTTTAATATCATTTCAGATATATTAGCTATATGATATCTAAATCAAATAAATAGAATATATTCAGAAGAATCATAATATTCATATATATAAATCATTCTTATGAATTATGATTGCATCTAGAAATATATACGAATCTTATGAGATATAATTTTCATTCATCAAAGAGAAAGAAAATATATTTATATAATAGATAAATCTATTTCATTCCTCTTCATCGGATCTCATTCTAGATGAGAAATCTATCATTTGATTTTCATATATAATTATAAATGATTGAATTATTCATTTCCTATATATTCGTTCATAATTGATTCAATATATGTCTTGAAAATTTTAATGCTCCTTCTCGGATCTATTTCTGATATATTTTCTGCGAATCAGATTATAATCAATCAATTAATCAATCAATCAATCATTCAATCTCCTAATCTTTATATAATTCATTCGATCCATTTTTCTGATGATCTATCTCATTTTCTATCTGATCATCTATCTTCTATCGAATCTGCTTATATATATCTATTGAATATATTGTGCAAGTCCTATATAAAGATAGATATCTCATTCAATTATTTAGAAATATAAGAATAAACAATATATATGATTCCAATTCTATTTAATAATAACGTAATATATTGAATAAAAAGATTATCCCAAATTTATACCATATTTTTCCCTGTATCAATCAGATGATGAATCTAAATCTGCCACTGCTTTTCTCCGAAGAATAAATAAGACAGAAAATATGAGATAAAGAGATGCTGGACGAATTCTAGACCAACAAGCTGGCCAATCTGGCGGGAGAGGATCTAGACGAGATCTTTATGGAATCATCTCTCGAAGATCGTATCTTGAATCTGGAATGAATCAAATTTCCCTGTTAGTTGGATATCAATGATATTATATTGAATGCGGCCATATTGGTACGATTGGAATCATTGATTATTGGGGATGATTATCATAATATATATCCAAATCATATGATTGATAATGGTTCCTTCATCAGGGATAATGATCATTCGCAGGATTATGATCCAATGAAAACCGGAAATATCTATGATTTTAGCAGAATTCTCTTGATTGAGGATAATCGTTCATTATATAATCATCATCTATTTGATTAGAAGGATGATTATTCTCCAATGAGGTAAATTGAAGGAATATCTGGAAGATATAAATATGTCCAGATCCCCGTCATTCTGGAGGGAGAAATCCCCAGCATAGGGGACTCCAATTTCTTGCGCCTGGCGGAAATGCATATCCCTCTAGATATGATGCTGGAGGCATTATATATATTCAAGAGGAATAGATAATCTCCTATGACGATTGAATGAGATCATTAATAGATAGATAATGGAATCGTTGATAAAAGGAGGCTAATTTCGGAGAGGAAGATTGGAGATCAATAATATTCTATCTTGAGGAATCTATTGATTACGAAGATCATGATCAGATCATGGCCAGATTCTCCCGAATATAATAATTCCAATTGCCAATATCAGATAATAGGTCTAGATAGGATCTAATGAGAGAAAATAGAATATGCGCGTCCTTTCCTGGAGAATCTAATCAATATGATAGAATTGGAGATATTATAATAGAATATGAAAGGAGATGATAATGATAATATCCTTTCTATCTCGTCTAATCTTCCAGATTAATTTCTTCTCTCTCATATTGATCGGATAAGATCAAATGATTCTGGAAGAATCATATAAAAATTGAATATAGAGGATCGTATCATTTTATTATAAATCTTTCAATATGAAATTCTATCGTCTCAAATAGGAATCGAAATTCGAAATATAAATCCTAGATATGATCAAATCAATAATTATCCGATTATAATTCAATCTATTCGATTGAATATAGAGCGTTAAGACGATATAAATATCTATAGATTCTCTGCCAATATTTATATCCTAGAAATAGTAGTCCCTGCTATATCTACGGATATATATCTCAATATCAAGAGGACGATATCTTGAGGAAAGAAAAGATATTTATTAAAGATGGAATTCGTAACGAAAAAGATTTTTGATCTGATAAATGAAGAAAATCCTAATCTATAAGATATTATTAGGGAATTAAATCTATATAAGATAAAGGAATCATTTCTTTAGAGGAATTTCCAGAATAAATTTTGACGCAAATTTGACGAGAAAATATCTAGATAATTGAGATCATAATGAGATTAAATATCTCCTTCCGCCGCCTCCTCCGATGATAATAAATTCCAAATAATAAATCCCTCTCTATTATCTCCAGGGATTATAGAAGAAATTATAAATCGTAGAAGAATTCTCTCCCCGCCATTCTCTATTCCGAAATATGAAGATATATAAGAAATTATATTATAGAATAGGGAATTTCCGTCTCCTCCTTTATATCCCTCAAGAATAGGCTCGCCTTTTGGGAATGATTCTTCATCTGAATCAAAACTTCTATAAAGGAAGGAAGAAAAAGAGATCTTCCTAAAGATGACGAATAAACATAAAGGAATAATAGGAATCAAAATTCAAATGACAATGACATTCTTATTAGGAATTCAGAAATATCCCAATAGAATTCAATTACCAAAGGCGTGACAATCATCCCTGAATATTCAAATAGAAATCAATTGATCCGATTTCGGATAATTCTTTAATTAGAAAGGTCATAGGACTAGGAAATACTTCAATTAAGCAGGAAAGATCGATTCCTAATAATAAATACTGGAGAAAGGCATCTAGATAGATGAATGATCAATATATATCAAAATCTATAAATCCGTTTTTAATATTTGATCTTATTCTCATATAAATATATCGTATCCTATTGCCTTTAATAGATATAATAGAATATCTGATAAATGAAATATGTCTTTCCTTAATATTCTAGATGAGAAGGATCTATCGCCAAGATCTGCAAACGATATAACGAATAAGAGAATCAAATTAAGTTTGATTCGACAAAGAGAAAGATATAATATCAATAAACGTGATGATTATTATGCCTTTGAATCTAGTGATATCTATTGGAATTACGAGAATTATTAAAATGATCAATAATGATGATTTCGCATATCTAATATAGGAAGAAATCATTTATAGAAGATCTATTGAGGAAGAAATCATATATAGAAGATCTATTGATTGAATAGATATCCGTCTCGAAGAAATTTGATATCTAGGAGATATAGAATAAAAAGATACATCAAAAAATCCAGAAAAAGACGAAGATAATCGTAGAATTCTATGATTTCTCGAAATCTCTGATCTATATAATAATTTAATCTCGGAAATTATGACGCCATTTAGATAAGACTATAAATTGAATGCAATTTAATAATTATATATTCATAATACTCAATAAGATCCAAATTAGCGTATTATAGTCCTTATTTCTCATCAATAAATTCAGATTTCTATTCTAAGAAAATCTCGTCGCAATTAAGAGATGATTCAATAAATTAAATAAATTGGCGAAAGAAGACGATCTTCCAATATAAGAAAAATGAGAAATCTGATAAAAGAAATGATAAAAAGATCTCGTTAAATATAATATTGAATCTATTCCAATAACGCAAATCGAAATCTCAATACTTCAAATCATTCGCCTATAATTCCAGATATCAAGAATCTAAAGAAGAATGACGAATCTAGAAATTCCTTTCTTCAGAATATATCATGAGAAAGATATCCAGAGATGAAGAAGAAATTTAATTAGATTTTTCTAAAAAAAAATCATAAAATAATTTATAGAAATCAAACGATGCTTCAGATATATAAATAATTATTCCGAAAAATGAACAATCTTCTTCGAATGCAAATCCAATCATATAGTCAAGAAGTAAAAATATAATTAAAGACGAAATTTCTTCTTTCCGAAAGAAATATAATATATCAAAATCTATAAATAAAATCTAGGCGTCATTATTTCTGCCTCGCCTAAATATATTAACAACAATATTATTTATAAAAGAGAAGAGAAAATATTCAAAAATATCTTTATCATATTAAAAAGAAAAACCTCAAATATGAAAACCCAATTATCCGTCTGTCAAGAATCCAAAATCGATGAATAAGATCAAGCTCTACGCAAAAGAAATATAAATCCAAAAAGAAAAATCATATTCGTATTGAATCTGCAAAATAAATATAATTTCCTATACGTCAATGAATCAATCCTAAATTCGTATCAGATATTCAGATTCTTTCTCGATCATGATGAGCCATATAAAAATATTTCGAAATAGATTTCAATTCTTTATCGAAGAGGCAAATCCAAGCTGATCAGAATAATAATACTATATGAACGGAATAACGTATGTTGGCTTCTAGGATCGGCCAAACAGAAGAAATAAAAATTCAAAAAAGGGATTAATTAATTAATTAATTAAGATTTGGGTCCAGGGTTTTAAGATTTCAGCTTTCGGATTCAGGGTTACAAGTTCGGGGCGTTAGGTTCGGATTTTTAAGGTCAAGGTTCGAGATTGGCCCGGGCCCCCCAAATAATTTTTCCCGAATTTGTTTGGGACCCGCCGGACTATTCTGACCCCTCTACTTGTTGGGGGGGGTGAGGGTTGTTACATCAATGAACATGTCGTAGGATCGTCAGCCATCTAGCTGTCCGTATGGAAAGGGATAGATCATCGTCATAACGGCTATGCCGGCGGAAATTGCAGCATCGCTTTGCGATGCAATTTCCAAAAGGTTGGAACTTAAATCAGGCCTGGTAGAAATGTAATGTTTGAGACTATTCTCTACTTATGCCGTCAAGATTCTTGTAAGAACCAGACCTCAAACACGAAAACTCCAAAAATAAAACCTACAACTGTCATCTACTCTCAACTCTCAACCTCTGAATCGCCACATGCTCACGCCTCCCTTGGCCAATCATCAGCGCCTGCCATGTCTGCCGACTTTGACTGACTCTCCTCCAGTTTCGGTGTTCATGGCTTCTATTGCCTTCAGCATAAAGGCGCAGCGCACAGCAGGATCCCGAATTCCTGGGCTTCTGCTTTGCCAAGCTTTACCTCTTGCTTCAGCCTCCCATCAGAAACCAACTTCTGTAAACCCTGAGTCCTAAACGACCAGATTTCAAAGCTTTCCACTTGGCACCCTGGATTCCTGGGAGGTTTGGGAACTCATGAACAATGACCCGCGCTTTTTGAAGCCCCCATCTCCACGGGTGCAGCCTTTCAATGAAGTCCTTCATGGCTTTGCAGCGGCGATTTCCACAAATCACGTAGACCTGCCCATGCCACCTGACTGCCACCAAAGGGCGCACGTCTGTCGCACCCAGCTTTCCAGAGTACAGCTCATCGGTCAAGGTGTGAATAGACTGGCCCTGCTGATCTCCATGTAGGAATCGCTCTGAGATGTTTTGGTGGCTGTACTTCAACTCGGAGATCTCGATCTGTTCAATGAGGTGCCTATAGTGCCACTCTGCGTCAGGATCGCGAGCTGGATCTAGCCCGGCCAGCACCTTGCCCTTCTTCTCTGCACGGAGAAACTCGTGGATCATGGCAGATTGCAACGTGCCACCACCATTCAAGCCCAAGCCGTCCAACGCTTGTTTGTGGTAGCCGCTCAATTCCCAGGAGTCCCATGGTTCCGCCCAGGAGGTTTTGCTTTCACATGATTTCGCATGACGCCACGCAGAGCTTGTCCATTCATGGGGGCGATTCTCCCACCAGGAATTACAGGAATCTTCCCACCACGTAGAGCTGTCCCACCACGAATTCTGTTGCTCTGACTGCTGCCGTTCCTCTGTGGGTGTTGCATACGTCCTGGACTTACTCGTGTTGCTGCCTCCTGATCCATGCTTTAGAAACTCCAAGAATTCAGTTTTCATTGCCGGGGAGAGCTGCCATGCGTCGATCTCTTCTCCACGCTGAAAGTCAGAGTCGCTGAAGTCATGGGGTCTAAACTCTTCCTTGAAGCGGGCCAGCAGCTGCTGAAACACATTGTTTTGAAAAGCTTCCCATCGCCCATCCACGGACCAATCTGTAGCCAGTCGGAATGCCCTTGTTATCTCCTTGCCGGGTTGACTCCTACAATCATGAGACCTGCACCCCTCACTAAAAATGAGCGTTTCCTGAAATTTCGGGTTTTCCATTTAGTATCGACCACAGAGATTCAAATTCCCCGTCATTCTTACCATGCCCAACGTCTAACAAAGTAAACTCTCTAAAGAAAACGTCGGGCGTCGAACAGGTTTATGTGTTAAGGCCCACAAGCGTCGACCCAGGGATGCTAGCTCGTACTTCGAAAGTCCCCCCCAAAATCATGTATAAATAAGGTTTAGGGGTTAGGGGGATAAAGTAATACAGCAATGACTTGCTATGCCAATTTGCCATCTAAATTACCATCAAAATATCCTAGCAGAACTATTCGTAGATAACCCAAACTCTCCTGCTGAGTGGGAGAATTGAACATGTAGAACTTGTTGCCCTGCTGGTCCTCGAACTGAAGCTCTTCCTTGATTGTCTTATTGGTGGCGGTTAGAAAAAGAGTTAAAGAACACCTAGCAACCCAAACAACCAGAAATAAATCGTTGTTCACCAAAAAATTCCCTGGCAGGGTTCTCACACTATGGAGAGTTTTGTAGAGATTGGTTATTTCATTTAGGTCACTTTTGCAGGTTGGGTTTGCAGGCGTGGGCTTGAACGGACTGTAGATCTTTTCCTGAGTTTCCCTACTGACCACAAGTAATCTGCTCTTGCCTCCTAGTCCCAATCATTTACGATAACCTAGAACCCTAGGGAAATGCTTAAAGCTAGAACTTTGAAAATGCAACCCTAAACTGTCACGCCGCTGAAGCTTGAGCTCTGCCAAACTTTAACATTCGACATGGCTCGACCTTCAGTTGCTGCTTAGGCTGCTTACGAGTACCTGACAGTGGCGAAATTTCCGCGTCGCAACCTTAGAAGTCATACCATGAAAGCAACATCTCCGAGCATCGTCTTTGTCTTTATGCGGATGATGGATGACTCTCCAGCCATCCACCCGCTCAGCCACAAACCTTTTCTGTTTACTGCCGAGAGCTAAGAGCAAACATTCAGAGATGGTTGTCTACTTAAGCACGCAGATTCTGAGGGGCCGTGCTGCACTAGGGCCCCTTAAAAGGACCAACAATTGGACCCAACTCGCTCCCAACAACTCACAGCAAAGAGCCAAACTTGACAATCCCAACGACTTACTCGTGCTAGGGGGGCTGGGAGAGTGAACATTGATATTCTAGCATGGGTACATCCCGGGATCATGTATGTAAGGATAGTCATAGGGATCTAGTGCCACATCCCCCTTAACCTTGCAGGTCTGCATGTGAGACATGCTTCAGATAAGAAAACCGGGCATCAGCACAAAGCTTCCTACATAACTTTGAGACGGTCCAGGTATCTTCGTGCTTCAGTCCACCATACCCAACCCAAAGTGCAAAGAGGTACTCAAGTAGAATGCAGCAACTTCGCCATGGGATGCTTCTGGTGCGGACAAAGCAGATACCTTCGCATCTCGAGCCTGGGTGATCGCCATATTCAGTGTTCATTGATTCGTTGACGTTCATATGAAACTAGGGCATGTCCCTCCGTGCCGTACACCATGGGTTCTGAGGGCTTAGCTCCGTACTCAGAATGTCAGTATTCTGAGTATCACCCATACCTCTTTCAAAAGATCTTCAGAAATTCATACCGCACGCTTCATCGCTGCGAGGGTCCAGGCTTTAGATATCACGCCAAGTTCGAACACAAGCGCACACACAGAGCCTTGGACAATCCACCGCCCAATGTCCAGCACCCCTTACCCTAAAATCCCTATCCTGTAAACCTGAAAGCCCTAGCCCCAAGCAACCACAGCCCTATGCCCTCGACCTGCCCACCCAGCCTGAAGCCCTTGATCCCAGGTCCAACGAGGTTTTTCCTGATCTTGTCGGCTGCGCCAGCCACAATCAGCTGCCATGGCTTGTGACTCACGTCCTTCAGAAGCACTTTCTCTCCTTAGCTGCTCAACTCCGACTTGCATTCGAAGACGCACTCCCGGGGCCCTTCACCGATCTAAGCTCCTGATACGTTTCAAAGGTGCAGTGCGGTGAATCCAGATAACGAAAACCATGTATATTCAAATGCCAAGTCGCTGGATGTCTGCAGCTCTTCATGCATCAATCCTCTAGCAGCCAAAAGAATGTCGTGAGCCTTCCTCCGGCCCACACAGAGCCCGCGTTCGCGCATGCGGTCTACGTCGTCCATTTGCAGAATCGTTGGCATCTCTGCGCCCCGGGCAACATCGGCGCACTCAGCCCAAAGCTTCTCGAAATGGCTCTGGTGACTCATGGATTCCTGGGCTGGGGTGTAGTTAGAAGCTCATGGGTAAACTTTGTAGAGGGCTGGGTTTAATGGGGTTACATGTCATTGGTCAGGAGTCAGGAGGAATGTTAATATGAATATATAAACGCACGGCGAACCTCCAACGCCTAACTGCACATGTATCTCCAAGCACAAGCTCAACTTATCCCATCTGCCTATTAACTATAGTTCTAAGAGTGCGTTCCAAAAACAGTAACGAGTCAGCCTGTGCCAAACTTGCGATCCTTCTTCGTGAGCCTCACTTCTAGATCCGTCTATTTAGTACGTAAAGGCCCGACTTGTGGCACGTGCCCACTTGAACCTAGTCTCTGAAGCTTCATCTCGGCATCTCTTGGTTCCGTGTTTCAGCTCGGTCGCCTCAGTCTCTGGAGCTTCATCTCGGCATCTCTTCCGCGACGGTGGTTTGCTCGGGGTTCCGTGTTTCAGCTCGGTCGCCTCTTGTGGTGCAGGGGTTTGGTTTAGAGATCAAGCGCTAGAGGTTTACAGATTACATAGATTCAAAGTTCAGCGGTTTGAAACGTAATGTTTCAAGCTGAGGGCTTTTAACGCCCAGAGTTTGGGACTCGGAATTTCCTACATACCCTACCGAAGCAGCTGCTGTCAAGCCGCTCGCTGAGCACTTGTCAACAGGTTGTGTATTTTTGCAGGGGAACATGGGGACGTTGTCGTTGAGGAATGCCCACTTGGTCTTCGCAATAACTTCTCCGCGAACCTGAAGCACAACTCCTTGATTTAGGCATTGTCCGAACAAGCTAAACCCTCAAAGTCTAAGGCCCTTGACTCTTGACCATGAAGCCTGAACATTATGCCGACACGCCAATCCTGCAAATAGGGTTTGGTTGCGGCACCTTGCTTGGAGGATCTGACAGAGCCCCAAAAAATATCTGAGAACCAAAGCTGTCACAATATCATCTTCAATAACAAGCAAAATTGGTGTAACAAATTGCCCTGTGACCAGCGTTAGGGTTAAGGGAAGATGTTGGGTGTTTAGGTGCCTTTAGAGGGCCCCTGTACTGTAACTGAGATCGCAGTGCTGTTGGGTCTATGTTAAGAACCTGACAAAGAGAAAGGCAAAGATCGGGGGTTGAGCAAGTTAGATAATGGAGATTCATTAGAGGATGGAGATTCAGGCTGTGCCCTAAACCCGAAACCTGCGTGGCAATACGCTACGGTATGCAAGCTCGGTCACAGTTTTGTGCCAGCATGTGCCAGCGCCAAACCCAATAGACCTTAAACCCTAGAAACCCTAGAACCTGTACCCCTTGACTAAGCCCTCAAATGCCTCCCCCAGCATCTTGAGGGGTCCCTCAAGCTCGGGCAATACCGGTCGCGCTCGTTGCGCCTGGCTCGCTTCCAAGCCCAGATTGAAGCTGTTAGTGTGCAGGTCTTAGCTGCCATCATTCAACTCCCTCCAGATTCCGAGCTGACATAGAGGTTAGCCACTGGATTTGTACGGAGATTCTTATTTGTGTGCCTTGCAGGGATTTGCGCAACTGCTTTGCCGGTATTCCTGCGCACTTACGAATTGGTTCTGTTCCGGGGTCAGGGCTTCAGGATATGTTTGATGGTGCTTTGTGGTTTGGGCTCTAGGTTGCGGTGGTACTAGGGACTTTCTGACGTATGCCTGAGGGAGCTATGAGCCGCCAGGTATCAACTGTCAGCCGATGCTATTTCCTGCTCACCAATAGAACTCCTGTCCTTCTCACTTGTTTTTGCTCTCTCTCTCTCGCTCGCACACCTCACCTCAAAGAGCACGACAGTCTGCGTCAGGGTCAGATTGTTTAGTACAAGGGCGTGCGCTTGTTGGGTTCTTCCTGGGGCTTATGATTGTAGGGTGGGTCGACCTTATTAGGAGGGCTTATCCCGCCTGACTTCATGCTGACAGATGTGAGTTTCCAGGTTGTTTTACCTTGATGCGATTTTAGTGGCAAATTTACAGTACCTGCAAGAACCATGATCTTTCAGGGCCATAACTAAGGATCCACTATGGAGCTTTGAGGACATGACCCACAAGGGTTTCTTTAGCTTTGGCAGATCTCAGGTCCTTGAAGGATTTTACTTTCTTTTTGTGGAGCACGTTTACGCACCACGATGTCACCTCAAAATGCAATCCCAAACTGTTTGGGGTTCAGAGCTTCCGTGAACCCCAAACCAGGAACCCCCCAAAGCCTCGACCTCTTGACCCTTGTGCCCTCCACCCCTGAACTCTAGACCCCTAGACTCTAGAGGTCTAGGGTTCAGAGGTTGAGGCTTCAAGGGTCAAGAGGTCGGCCCTAAACCCCAAACTCGACAGCCTAAACCCTAAAGCCTGAATAAACCTCAAAACCCCCAAACCTCAAAATCCCCAAGCCCTAAACCCTAAGCCCTAAACCGCTCTGTCGCACCTGGTCCAAGGCCAAGGCCAGAAATGCGGCTCGGGTGTACTTGCTCTTATTGCTGCCCAAACCTGTTCAGGACGGTTTAGGGTGTATACGCGGTTTAGGGTGTAGGGTTTAGGGTATAGATCTAGGATTCAAAGATTCAGGGCTTTAGGGATTTGGCTCTGAGGGCTTCAGCGTTTTAAGATTGAGGGTGTTTGCAGCCACTTACGAACCTAGCGTCAGAACAGGGTAAAAACCCAAAGCCGAAACCCTAAGCCCTACGCGCCTAGTCCGCGCGCATTTCCTGCTTGCAGGAATTGCCAATGACACTCCCTGAACCTCACAAGTCGCTGGCAAGCACCGAAAATGGGAGACTGTGTTTACTTTTTAGGAAGCACGGCGGCCAACTAGCTTGAACCTGGCTGAGTCCTGCAACCCTTAAGCCTTAACCCCCAGCCTACAGAACCCGAAGTCCTATCCTGGCCAGACCCTACATTACAATCCAGCATGCTTCCTGGCTAACCCGTACATAATCACTGAGCTACAAAGGACATTTAAGAGTTTGGAGGCTCTTGGAGCAGGAAATTTCGATGGGTTCATCGAGATTACACAGGAACCCATAAAGCCCTCAAAACACTGTTTTTTTCCACTTGATTCTCCATGACTAACCTAACCCCAAACCTCTACAAACCCCAATCCCAAAACCTATTCAGTCCCCTACTCTCCAAGCCAGGGGGCTCGGAGCCCTTTATGTACTGCTTCAACTCGTCGGGTTTGGATTCCTGCGCCTCTGCAGGAGTGCCCAAGCCAGCGTAGGTGCACGCGAGATTCCTCAGAGTTTGAATCCTAAAAACTTTCAACCCTAACGACTTGAACCTAAAACCCTATAGCCCTAAATTCTTCAAGCCCTGGAAAAATACAAAAACCTTGAGGGTCTGGGGGATGAAATTTCAGGCCAGGGGGTGAGCTAGCACCCGCACCACAGGCTATGACTTGGAGGGGTTTCTTAGGGGTGGTTCTAGGATCTAGGGCTTGGAGAATGGGAAAGAACATGACAACTGGTTTTAAGGACTGGACACCGTCAAAACTTATTAGCTTGAAGGTATGAACCCGAACGGCCTGATTGTCTTGCATACCTAGCAGAAACAAGGTGTAGTGTTCAGGGTTAGGGCCTAAAGTGTTATAAGTGGAGTTCAAAAAAACATGCGGGCCGCAGTAGTAGTGGTTGTTGTTGTCGTTGTTGCAAAGGGTCGTGTAGTTGTAGCTCCCGTAGTATTTTGGAGTATGGCTGTTGTTGATGAATGTGCTGTTTGTACAAAAGGAGAGCCCTTGGTGGACCCTGGGGATATGTGGGGAACATGTAGGGATTGCAAGGGTCGAAATAAGTTTGGTGGCGTATGGAGTGTATGGCAGCAGTTTCAGGTCAGTATACTGTCAGGGCGTTAGGGCGCAAGCTTTGTGTCGAACTATGTTTTGGACCTCATATGTCGCGTGACCACGTCGCGGGCTTGGTATAGTTTGACAATCTGGGGGTGTAGCGCGCTAATTACAAGGTTTGCCTTGCTGTGCCCCGAATCTGCAAGAACCATCAGGAATGGTTTCCATAACACTAAACATAGGCTTGCCTCCGCAAAGTTACATCATCATGACAGCAGCAGCAGCAGCAGCAGCACTGATGTGAACAAACTGCCAAGGCGCTTAGCCGACTGGAACTCATCCAACTTCTCGTCATCACAGTAAACGCAGACGAGCCCACGAAAGCTGCCATGGCCAATTATGTGTATGTTCATTGATTGCAGGTGTATCGCCTGAAGCTCTGAGCAGGAAACCGCCCCTAGAGATTTGTAAGCTTTTGAGCGGCGTTGACATGTCTCAAGCTGAGTATTCAAGTCCCGGCGTGCATTGCAAGAAGCCATCTGACCCTCTTGTTCTTTCTTGAAACTTGACAATTAGGGTAGGGTCCATGGCAAGTGCTGCGTGCCTGTCTTTTGTCGTCGTACCATCGTATGCGCTCGTGACTACAAGTTGTGATGGAGACCATAGCAACTCGTTTCTAGAAGCACTTCTCTTTTCGGGCCGGTACATGCAGGCATTTCAATTCAATACCACCGGCTGTGCGGATATCATTTGGATTTTTGCCAAACAGGGGGTTCAAGGATCCTGGAGATATGTGGAAAATATCAGGGCAAAGGCATTTCTAGGGGTCACTATGAGGATCTTTATCCTTCTTAAATGCAGTCTACAATCAGAAGAAGAAATTAATCTTGTCTGTATTGGGGACTGTAGTGTACCACCCCACATACCAGGGGGCAATTTCCGAAACTTAGAGCCCCACACACAACTCCAAGATACTTTTAATATACTCGATTCCTTGGAATGAGGGACGCCTTTTTGTAACTCCCCTATCTACTGGAGTGGAGTGTTGAGAGATGAGATTGGTAGCCAGCCGAAATGTCGGAGCTTGATACTAGCGGCTTTACTGGCGCGTGGACTTTGCATCCGCGAATAAACCCTGAATCCAAAGCAAGCAGCAGAACATGTTCATGAAATGCATCAGCCACATTTTCTCTCCATCAGGGTGCCGGGTCCAGGGCCTCAGGCTTAGGGATGGTCCGGAACTTACCTTCGAAAATCCTGTGGGACCCTTTGCTCTGTCTGGTTTCCGAGCTGTTCTGAAAACCCTCTATGAATTCCTTCAAATCATCCATCGCGGATAATTGACAGGGCATGGGGCTCTGCAGTCGTTCCGAGGTCGTACCCAAAAAGCTAAACTCCTATAGTCGCCCTTGAGTAGATAGAATATGGGCTATATGGGGATCTTATTTTAATATACCCACAGCCATATTCTATCTAGTTAAGGGGGACTATAAGCCCATCCGAATCAAGGCCAGGTCTCGGAATCTGTAGGGTTTGGGGAGCTCTGGTGGCTGAAAGGTTTTGGCAACTTGGACCGCGGAGGTGTTCAGGGTTTTGCTGGGTGGCCATTTCAACGTTCGGGGCTCCCGGACAGTTCTCTGGAGCTTGAGGGTACTGGGTGTAACGCCTGCGTTTGAAATTCCGAATCATAGCCTTAAGGCCTTGCACCCTGCCAGGCTATCTGAAAATTCCATGCTTTGTGGCAGTAGAAACCTCCAGCCCAAAAGACACAGCTGGGAACACGAAGAGCTTGTGGGGCGCTTTGGGCTCAAGCAATATGATCAGGGCTCCTCGTGCAAAATCAGCTCAGATTTTGGTCAAAGCCTGAGTACTTTCCAGCATGCCATGGTGCTGGCAGAATATCATCTGCCCAGAGCGGGTGGGGACATGATTGTACGTTACATCCATAAACCATGAGCGGTCATGATCAAAATGCCCTCCCCAAACGCACATGGAACTCTACAACCGCCTTGACTGTGATAGTACGAGTCGTCTTTGCAGGATGTGGAGGTATTTCATGCTAGTTTCAGTCGGATACAAGTTACCTTTCTCAGTCTACAGGATGTGCCCATCCTTGTGGGACACAAGCATGAAACATGACGGTTTCTGACCTTAAACGTGAGGGTGTAGGATCCCTACCCCTAGAGCTCCCCAAAGCCACTGTAAACTTTAGCTGGAGCCCCAATCGGTCTTTGCGAGGGCTTCTGCCAAGACTGCCAAACATCCCCCCCACCCCCGTTTTCTTTTGGTTGTTCCTGAACGTGGCCAATAAACGTTTATCAGAAAAAATCCTTAAGAGGACCCCTAACATCCTGTGCAATCCCCACATCCCCGGCTGTGGCGGTGGGTGTCGTTGGTGGTGCCAGTGGTGGTGATGATGGCGGCGGTGCATGGTGGTAGAGAACAGCCCCATACCATCAGCCCGGCGTTGTTTCGTGATTTTCCTTTCATTGCTCGTGCTGCATACTTCTGATTTGATGCCATTCATCCCAGCATGGCCCACAGTAGCCGGAGGCATCAACCCCATCTGCACCGCAGGCTTGGCAAGCACCTCTGCAGCCAGCGCAAAGAAGCCGCCCTGACTGTAACTGTGATGACCGATCCAGCCTGGTACAGCTTGCACAGATGACAGGAAAAACCGCCGGCGGGGAAACGACAAGCGCAGAAGCTTCTGCCGCTGCCAATTCTGGCACCCACCTGCGGATGAAACTGTCCGTGTCGTAGGGTCCAGAACCTCCACGAAGAGCTCCATAAAGTCGAGCGAGAAAGTGGCTAATCGCATCTTTTTGCAAACAATCGCCGCCAGGATCGCACCCAAGCCCCGCAGAATGCACTCGCCCACATCGCTTCTGGATTCGCGCCTCACGATTCCAATTCCCATAGTTGACAGCAACGTCATGATCTAGCAAGGTGGCCTCGAACCACATGGCGCCCATTCGCCAATCCATTCCCAAACAGCATGTGAAGAAGTTAGCCACCAACTGTCGACCAGTATTCGACATGAACCCAGATAGCTTCAGCTCACGCATGTGGGCGTCCAAATATGGGATACCAGTGGTACCAGAAGACCATCGTTGAAAAACTTCCGTGTTCCATGACCACGATCGCCTTGCACGAGCAGGCCCTCCCAGGCGAAAAACATCAGCCCCATGATACAGAAGGTGGTAGTGGAAGAGGTCACGCCATGCCAGTTCCGAGATAAACCATCGCGTGCTGTCACTGTCACCTTCTGCATGAACTTTCCAGTACACGGTGAGTGGCGACAGGCAACCCAATGCAATCCAAGGTGATAGCTTGGATGAGTAATCGGCGGTCAGCACGCCAGAGCGAGTATCGTAGTAGCTGCTGAGGCCCGTTTTGAGCCAGGACTCCAAGCGCGCCAGGGCAGCCACTTCCCCTCCCTGAAAGAGCATCACCGACCTTGCTATTGGTTTTGGGATGAAGGTTTAAGTTTTTTTTTTTTTTT